GCTTAACAATTATTATTTTAATAACTTTGAACAGGGGTAAATCGAAATTCTATACAACATTAATTTTAGAAAGCTGTAATTATAAGTTAAGAAATTATAGAAGGAGCCGCCTCAAACAAAATCATATATAGTTTTCGACAAAATTTGTTTGAATTCAACAATTCGACAAGTTGTCGACAATTTGTTCGACAACATTTTGTTTGAAATACATAATTGATTTCTCTTGTCCTTTGTTTATAACCCTGTGTATTACAGCAGATAGATCACTAATATTTTTGTGGAAAATTATGAAACATAACTTTTCAATAGTAAAAAATTAATTAAAAAAAAATCCTTTTAAAAAGTAATCAAGTAATAATATTTAAATCTTGACATAATTGTGTCCAACTTATTCAATTGATTTCAATAAAATAAGGTCAAATACTATAATAATTTAAAATACATATTAAAATAAATAGGAAACTATGTGAGTACTCTACTTCTTCTAAAGTTGTTGTTAAAAAATTTATTTAAAAATATTAAAAATATACTTGAAAATATTAAATGTATAAACCAGCCATCCTTTTAAAATAAAACTTAAGTTTTATTTTTTTTTCATATTTTACGATTCAAATACCGTATATTGTATATATACATGAACAAGTCAAGTGGACTTCATTGTCTGGCATTTTATGTTAAAACTTATTTCAAAATATTTATTTTCAATATTTTTTGTTACATACATACATACATATAATTGTTTGTATAATTTTATGAAATATGTTTCAACGAAATGAAATTTGTACTATATAAAAATTGTAATAAAATTATTGTTCATAGTTTCCAACTATTGAATTTAAAACCCTTATTCCAGTAAATTTATTCGAGGGCATTGTATAATAATAGAAAATTGTACAATGTGCATGCAATATTAAAAACAAAAGATTATTAAAAATTATCCAAATGTAAACAATGCTTATGTAATTATTATGATTGAGTATATAGTTATATGTATGTATATAATATTATGTTAAAATATATTCTAATAAAAGTAAGTAAGTGAAACGGTATAACTCATACGCGATATTTTGTTGTGCATGTTACATATGAAATTTGCACGATATAAGAATTTAATTACACTACTTTATGGTAGATGCAGAATAAGATTATCAAAAGACGAATATATTAACATAAAGTGTGTAATTTTAAGTACCTAGCTATGTTATATAAATATGTTTCTTAATGGTTGTTATCGAGTGGTTGCAATAAATAATAAAGGAAATTAATATTTATGCAACTTTTGACACAGTTTGCCTTGTTCCAGATATAGTGCAAGTAATTTTAAATATATTGTTTTCATACAATTAACATTTAATATTTTGAATATTCGTGATGTATCAGGTATTGCAGACTTATTGTAATGGTAAAATAGTCAATTTGTTGGTTTCCAAATACATTGAAGTTCATTGCCATTCCGGTGTTATATTAAATTATAGGGAAGTTTCTTGAAGAACTAAAGCGCAGGAAGCCACTTAAATTTGCTCTGGAAACATTTGTACGAGTATTGTAGACTTGACGCTGTCCATTCTATTTTTACTCGTACTTTGTGAGTGTTAATAAATGGTTTTAAACACAGAAGCATAATTTTGGCATTAATTCATAATATATTAAATGTTTAGTCGTAAAACCAATAAAATACCATGTCTTATCCGAAAACAAAATTACTCAAAAATGGATTTTTTTAAATTGGAATTGCACAACGTAAAAAATATGAATAAAACCATTTTATGATTTTTTTTATTATATTTTGCATTTTATTTATAATTATTTTAATTATTTCATAAATTCTTTTTATAATACTCAATAGAATTGTTTTGGGTTTTTTTTTAATTTATTTAATTAATTGTATAATAATAATTATATTTTTCATTTTTTTTTCTCTGAGTGTATTAAAGTTTTAAGTAAAAATATTATGAAATTTCTATTAAATTTATACAACAATAATAATTTTAAAAACACATAATAATAATTAACATTTTTTTGTAATATAAATATTATTAATAAATAATTTAATTAAAAAATATTATAAACTAATATAATAAAATAAAGATACACTTTGAAAATTTTTTTAAAATTTTATTTTAGGAACAATTTTAGAAAATTTCATTTTAAATATTTTCTATTTATAAATTTACGCTCGCTCTTTAACTATTATGAAAAAATTTGGTAATAAATGCATTATTGTGGCAGTCAATTATTTTATACTACAATAATCTATAATTTTTTTTTTAAATTCTACGATATAGTTAGAGACAAAATAAACATAACTAATTTCTTGTTAAAAATGTGGAATGCTTAAATAATAAGTTCATGAAAAATTATAATTTTATATTTGATAATTTTGTATAACATGGGGCTGAGCGAAACTAAGAATTACTGTCACTTCTAAGGGCAATGTTTATTTGATTTTCGACACATAGACTGAAGTTTGACTGATATTTAAAGGGGTTAATAATTTTAAAAACAAATCTGCATCAAACCGATGCAGATTTGAAAATTATCAATGAGTCAGAAATTTGTCCCATTATTAAAGAAAAACGAATCCAATTGAAAAAAAAATTAGTTTTTTTTTAGAATAACTAACATAATTTTCATTCCGTTATAAATGCGTTTATGAATTTCATAAATTTCTAAACATAGCCAAAGAATTTGTAAAAATTTTTTTTTGTAAATTGTAAACTTTTTACGATGAATTTGTAATTTATTATAGTGTAAGATATTACAAATTTTAATTTATTTATTTTCCACTTTTATTTACCACATATTAAACAAAACGGAAAGTATTGCTTTCGCAACAAAAAAAGTCATATCTTTTTCGCCTTAAGAAAGAACTTTAAAGTTTAAACCCTGAGTTAGGACAGTGAATACTTTTTTGTATACTTTGCTACTTTTAAATATACACATATGTATTTAAATAACAGGATTTTTCTGAAATATTCCAACTAAGCTGGAAAACTGACTATTATTTGAAAATTTTAAATAATTACAGTTGCCAATTGACGGAAACTGTCAGTTGGAAATTGTCAATTTTGATTATAAATTCTTATTTTAAGTTGTTAGCGTATTATAAAATTTTTGATTTACATTGACCAATTTTAAATTTCGATCGTATTTTGAACTAATTTCGACTCTACAAATCAAATTTTGTTTAAATAACAGTTTTTACCTACCAAATGCAATTTTGAAAAGAAAAAATTAATTGAAATCGATTATATGCTGATCACATCGAATTTTGTTTTATTTTGAGAGCGTTATATAATTTTAATTAAATAAATTGGAGAAAACAAAAATAAAAAATGGAAATTTTAAAAATAAATTTAAGATATTTTTTTTTTGTGTTTCATTTCTAGATTTTTTGTTTTTTTTTGCAGAGTTATACAATTAAAAATAACAAATGAAATTTTAGATATTTATCAAAATCTAACTAATTTTACTTACTATCTATATTACATATTACATATTTATATTTATATATTTATGTCATCAGTTATTTAGTTTTTATAATTATATAATTTTTTTCTTCTTGTTTTTTTTTAATTTTTCTATACAATGATTTCTAAATATTTTTTATATCCACAGTCATTTGTACATTTATGTATGTTTATTAATTTTATGTATGTATGTATAGATGTATATGTATAAGTATGTATATTTTATTTATACAAAGCTTAATATTCTAAATTTATTTTATATTTTTTTTTATTATTAGTTTGGTTTTATATTTTTTTTTTTTGCATTTTTCATTTTAATTTATCTAATACTGCAGATTTTTAGTATAGAAACAGTAGAATTTAAATTTAATTTATCTGTTACGCATTTACGAAGAAAATAAATATTTTCACTTAAAAAATCAAAAACCATTAAGTTCCGGCTATCAAGCTAATTGAAAAATATAAAAAATTGGCAAGCTAATTGAAAAATGAAACCGATTTAAGAACATCCAGTATTTATTTAAACAAAAATATCAAGCTAAGAATACATAGGTAAATCATATTATAAATAATAATCTTAAAAGAGTCGATGAGCTATTAAAAATTCGAAGGCGCCAGGCGTCTACTAGTTAGAAGGCGCCAGGAGACTAACTTTTTGAAACTCTTCGCATCTATTGCAGGAGTCTAACTTAGTAGATGCGAAGAAAATTAATGGAGCAACGATGCGTCTAATCTTTGTTGGCAAAAACAAATAAGTTAGCTGAGGCCTTACTATGTAATTCGATTTTCGCGAAACGATTTTCGTATTGGCAGAAATAAAGAGGTGATACCAAACAAATTGATTGTTGCTATCTTACCCTTTCTGCAAACACGAAAACCGTTTTTATGAAAATTTATTTACATAGTAAGGCGACTGAATAAAATCTCAAAATGCTATTTTAAAAAATTCAGAAATTCAATATTACAGTTTATAAAATCAAATAATAAAATATTCTCCGAAATTCCGAAACTGAATTGAATTCTACTGTGCAGTTTACATTTATTTTTAAATTAAATTTTCATATTTTTACAAACAGTTTTTATATATACTTACATATTGTTTGTATATACTATGAGATTTCCTTTTTTCTTTTCTTTTTTTTTGTTATGTATATTTATTTATCTAAAAATATTTTAATTTATTTACAAAAGATATAATATAATAGTACGCTGGTATGATTTTTATTGTAATTGAAGTTATACAAAAACAAATTGTATATTTTATGGTCACTGATTTTACTTCTGTTGAATTAAAATGAAATTGTTTTTATAGAAGATTTTTAAAAACAAAAAAATTCTCGAATAAATTTCATTAGAATATTAATGATTGCATTAAAAAGAATTTAATCAATAGTCATAAAATATACAAAATTGTTTTTGTAAACACCTACTGAAGAATTTATTTTCATTTATTTATTTATACATTTATTTATTAAATTTTAATACCTAAATTATAATTATAATACTTACATAATATTGTTCATTATTTTTATTAAATTCATTTTATGGTAAATAATTAAAGCATATACATAGTTAATAATATACATATACATTTTTATTTTTTCATTTAATTAAATCTATTATTTCTAAATGGTAGGTGAATTTATTTATTAATTTTGTTATTATTATTATTATTGGTATACAAATATATTTATTTACCAAACACTACATTTATTTGTTGGATTCATTGGTGAACCTAAAGGACATTTATAGGCCTTAGCAAAATCTACTGAATTTGATAATGGACCTAATACTCTGACGAAACCTGGTGAATGAACAGATGAACGAATTTTTGTTAATGCATCTTGTGGCCGCATTGAACCACACCATATTTGTGCATAATTAAGGAAAAATAATTGATCATGTGTTAAATTTAATCCGGGTAAATCTGCTTCTGAACCATGTTTTGATACCCATTTTCGAAATGCCTACACAAATTTTATTGAAAATAAAATTTTAATTTCTAATTTTTGAGGAGATTAAAAAAACAAGTGAAATATGAGCCTTTGTCGGATAAACAATTTTTGTATTATTAATTTATAGTCACTTTAAATGTGACTTTTGATCATTTTCTGATTTCTGCAAAGGCCTTGTCATGACAACTTCAGACAACTCAAAATCCTTCTTTAAGAATGTTCCATCGCAAAAGTTATTTAACTCTGCGAGAAGTTTTTAGCACTAGTCAACACCACAGTCATATTCAAGGTCTTTGTATTCCAATGTCAGAATTCTTTATGGCCCTACCAATCGCATCTTATATTGAATATCCTTTATGAAACGGCTCATATTTCGGCAAAAAAAAAATTTTATTGAAATTAAAATTTAATTTACCCGAAAAGCTTGTTTTAATCCTCCATTATCAGCAATATTTTCACCTTGAGTCATTCTACCGTTCATATATTGTCCGACTTCATCAATTTTATATCTCGAATACTGATCAATAATACATTGTGCTCGCTCTCTAAAAGCACGTATTGTTGCATTATTCCACCATTGCATCATATTACCATCCTTATCAAATTGACGACCTTGGAAAATAATTTTAATGAAAAAATAGATTAAATTTATTAAAAAGGATTGGTATTAAAAGTAATTTTCTAAATTCAAAATATTTTTTTGCTAAATACCTTTATCATCAAACCCATGTGTTATTTCGTGACCTATGACAACACCAATTCCACCATAATTTAACGATTTTGGAAAATGTTGACTATAAAAAAGTGGTTGTAATATACCAGCTGGGAATACTGAAATGATAACCAAATATAGAAAGGATGAAATTTTATTATTTACTCGTAGTAAGATTAAAACATTAAAGTAAAACAATTTTTCTTTTCAGTTTGTTTTGAGGTTTTTTTATGGTTTTTCAACAAAATTTTATGAACATTTTAAAACTTTTTTTTATTACTGAAAAATATATAAAAAAAAAAAACTTACCAATATCATTTTTATTGGGATTATAAAAAGCATTTACAACAGCTGGTTCAGTTGTCCATTTATCCTTATCAACGGGTTTCCTCAACAATTGAAGATTACGTTGTGCATCCCATTTTAAAATACTTAATACATTATTCATGAAATGATCTTCCCAGATGGTCAACTAAAAAATTGTAAATATTTTTTTTTGAATTAGTTGGAACGCAAATATTCCAATAAACAACAAAGCGTTCTCTTGAACATGAATATTTAATGAATGAAAATTGCAAAAAAAAATATTTTAAAATATTTGTTTTTAGACAATTTTCAAATAATTTTGATAATGGTCATATGATGCTTCTTTCAAGTAATAATAAAATGAAAAAAAAATTTTTTTTATTATTACTCTATTATTTCAATTTTTTAATGAAAGTGCAAATACTCACATTTACGTATTCTTTTTCTAATTCTATTGGGTCAGTTAAAATTTCTGGATAACCAATTCTTTCATTCATTGCATCTGCTTTCTCTTTTGCAACAGCTCTGGTTTCATCGTCCATCCAATGTATATCAGCTAAAAGTTCATTAAATGCTGCTCTAATTGTATGTATCATTTCTAATGCAGTTTCTTTACTCTCCTGATTAAAATTATCTCGTATAAATAATGCACCAACTGCCATACCTAATTTTTTATTTGTCCATTCAACACATTGTGACCATCTCACCCTCTCTGATTGTATACCAACTAATATTTTTTTGAATTCAACACGTTCCCTTTCATAATCATCTATCATATGTGTCATTATTGACATAACTAATCTCCATATTACATAATTATGTATTATTCTGCGATCAGTTTGTGCTAAAATTTTTCCCATTTGAACTAAATATGGCATTGCATAACTAACTATAGGTTCATCTGATCTTAATTTTATATCTGCTCCTAATGTTGATTGTAAATAATCGGTCCAATTTAATTGTGGTATTTGTGATTGTAATTCAGGTAAGGTTAATTTTTTATATATGGAACTTGTATCATGACGATCAGCTTCTGGCATTGAAACATTTGCTAAATTTATTTCAAATTGTAAAACATCATTTAATTCATCTTTAGCTGTTTTTGGATCAGCACCCAGTAATATAGCTATTTGTGTCATATAACGATGATATGCTTTTAAATCATTTTCACTACTTTCTTTTAAATAGTAATCACGTGATGGTAATGCTAAAACTAATTGATCTATTTGTAATATGTTAACTGATGAATTTTTATCATCAGCACTAACATATAGTTCAATAAGAACTGGTTCACTATATTCACCACGTAACACACCAAATAAATATTCTATCGTAAAATTTGGTATTGTCCAATCTTTTTCTACTACCGGCCAACCACCTAATTTTCTTAAAACTTTTTTTAATGGTAAATCCCCTGTTCTTCGTATTTGTTCTGAAATTAATAAGGAACAAAAATGTTTTTTAGTATAAACTGCTAATATATGTATATAGGTACATATAATACTAAAGTAATTCAGTCAACATCTTATCTGGGGAAAGAGCAATGGTAAGACGTTCAAACCAGACAGTTACATATGAAGTAGAACTGGGATACAATATTGACAAGAAATCAGTTCTAAATGGATATAGAAACTTTCCTTTCACGTCAATCTAAAACTATAATGATAGCAGTTACAAAACCTACTTGTTGAATCACGAAGTATCAAAGACTGTTGCTTTCGACCAATTAAACTTGTTAATAAAATTTAGTTGTTTCTTCACACAGCTTCTTTAAAACATCGAAATAAATTTAATTTTTACACTAACATTACCTAGTAGATAATCTTACATTTTTCAACTAAGGTACACTTTAATTCTTAAAATAAAATTCTTGACATGAAATACAAATACAATTTTTACATTTACAATGCATACATACAAGTACATATGCAGTCTAACGCTATGAATAAGATTATAAGTTTTTTGCAAAATATTTTTGTGCATTCATATTGATTTTATGCCTCGTCGAAGAGGAACTAGAAAAAAAGGCTATTAAATAACGGTGAATAATATTCAAAGAGCATTTTCCTAACTCACACCTCTTTTTCTGATAAAAAAAAAAAATTTTTTTCTAGTTATAAAATTTTTTTTCTATAAAAATATTATTTACCTTCCTGCTTTTATCATCATTTTCCAATCTAATAATTATTCCTCTTTGTAATGAAAAAAAAAACTTTCATTTCTCTTTTCTCCTGCTAATATTATTATTTGTTTATTTAATACAGAAAAAAAATATTTTAGTGAAAGCAAATTGGAAATTTCATTTTCCTCCTGTCATAAAAATTAGGTTCGCAAATCTTCCGCTTTGTTACGAAGTTTTATAAAACAAATGTTTACGTAAAGCATTGGTAAAGCATACAAAAATGATTGACAAAAAAAATTCCACTCTATTTTCTTGCCTGCCGGATTTTTTTTTTATTTGGTCTAAATATTAAAAATATGAAATTTTATTTTATTTCTCTAACGTCAAATGCATTTCAAACCTGTATGAGGTATACTGAAAAAAAAATAGTACAGGCACAATAGATAACATACTAGCCAAATTAAGCTGATGTGATGAGAAAAAGAAGACTGCCACGTTATGTAAAAGTCCACAACACAATCAATGTTAATTATCATGTAAAAAAACTTTTATAAACCATATTAAACGGAAGTTGTTGCTTGTAAGCATCATAAAATGCATTATGAACAAAAGTTTTAAAAATTTTTAAACCTAAAACTTTCATTTATGGAAATTTTTTACATTATGTTAAATTTTTTACGGATATAGGAGCAAACTTTATTTGCTTTCAGTATACCTTACAGGGTTTGTTCAAATTGTCACGATTCACGACGTAATTTCAAGAAGAGTGTATTTCGGATTTCAGAATGTATTCCCGTATTCGGTCTAATTCGATGGTAATACACGTCCCGTGTGCATCTGTTTGTTGTCCGTTTGAAAGTTGCCGCAGACGCTTATTTTCACAGTTTGCATATCAGATCAAAGATCATGTAAAATTATTAACGTGACTTACCTATATCCATACAACTTCTATAAAACATTTTTGCTTTTATTGTCGCTTGATTATCCTGATCATTAATATATTCTTCTAACACTCCTTTTAATATAACTTGCAGTTGGTCAGCTAGTACCTGCAGAAAAACAAATATTAGAATAATAATAGTACATTCTTAGGCAGTATGAAACTTTCATATTGTTATGACATTTTATCGCAACAATATCAAAGCTATTGAAAAATTATGAGAAATTTTCAAGAAATCCTGTTTTTTTGAGAAAAAGCTAGAATTTTCGTTGATCTTAGAATTGGTCGATCTTGAGAATAAATTCGGATGCAGCATACATGTTCAATAACATAATTGTACACAGGAGTATAAATTGAGCACACAATTGAGCACACAAAACTCAAAACTATTAATAAAATGCGAATTAAAAATATTTGCGAAATTTTTTAAATATTCGAATGAATTCATTTTTGAAATGTTTTATTCTTTGTTTGCATTAAGACAACGTTGAGCAATTTAAATGGAAGAACAGCATTTAATAATAAAAATTTTCATCATCGATTTTTATACATGCACACACATTTTAATTGAACTCTTTTTTATATTGATTTTTATTCAAATATGACACTCATTCATTACATTGCCTTAAGAGTACAATATTCATGTGTGTAATATTGATAAATGTACGTATAGCAACTCACTTTCATATTATTGCCTTTAATCAATACAATTTTCAATTTCAATACAAAAAAAAAGAAGTTTATGTAACACTAAAATATCAAAATCTACAACTACATATTAAATGTACACAAATACTCACTTCGAATGTGCTAATTGAACCTCTGTCCTCTGGTATTAAATGCTTTTTATTCCATGTACCACAAGCATATTGAAAAAAATCTACACAAGGATCAGCGCTTTGATCCATTGCAGCTAATAACGATGAAGCTTTATTTTTGTTATATACGGTATGGTGCATTGTACATATGAAAGAAAAAAAAAACACAAAAAAAAAATTGGTATAATTAAAAATGAAAAAAAAATTTTTTTTAAGTTTCAAAATTAAGAACAAACATTTTATTTTTTGATTGCCTATTGTTACAAAACATCATTGTTTTGCTGTAATCCAATGGAATTGCATATTGAATCAACGCACAACATGTGTGTAGGACAAATTTTTGCATCAATTTAAAAATATTTTTCAATTGATATTAATCAAGATCTACAATTGAGTTAAATACGAACAGATTGTGGAGGTTTTAACTGTAAATCATTAATTTTTCCAATATTATAAGAATAAGTTACAGAATAGTTAAAAAAATGAAATACAGATTGTTCCACAAATAGCTGATTGATCAAATGATTGGTTTGAACCAAATTATTTACATAAATTTACCCAAACAGGGTAGTTTAGGAGAGTTCTTATGAAAAACAACTCTCAACTTACTCTCATTGTTCTACTTTTTACCAATCGCTTTGTATACTGTAAGAACAATTTTGTGATGACAGTAAATTTAAAGAGCGCTTTTCCATTCTTAATTTCTTTTGTTTTTGTTTTTGAAGAAAAAAATTAACATAATATTTTGACGTTTCATGTCGAGTTGTCTAGACAATGTAATAAGCATTTTTCGGATTCATCAAAGTTCGGGAATCAAAGTTCGACTTTAAACTTTCTACCATATCTAGGCAATTAATAATGGAACTGATTGCAATCTAAAATTTCAAGACAAGAAGGTAATCGCTATGTCATAGACACATTTTGTTTTATCTAAACTTAAAAAAATGTAACTTTGCAAAATACATATTATAAATTTAGTCAAATCACATCTTTATCTTTAAGTAAATGGCAACTCTTAATAGAAAATTTTCATATTAAATAAGTGGGGATTTTGAAAATATTTTATTAAATATCTTATATATTTTATATTTTAGCTCGAAAACTTCAAAAAATTCTTATATAACTAATTACATTTCAATCGCTCTCTTTCACTTTGTCATTTTTAGCTAGAATTTTCTAATGCAATTCTACAAATTCAACGCTACAATTCACATGGATAAAAAGTTAAAAGCCGCAACAAAAACGTATTTATCTAGTCGATGATGTTGTTTCCTAAAAAAAATGAAAGAAAAAGGAAACTCTATTTGAAAATTTTCCATATGTATACATGTATGTAGATTGTTTATAAAATGATAAGCTGAACAATAGCTTATGTTCGTTCTAGCGTTAATGAACGAAAAAAAAAATTCAAAAATGTACAGTATTCACATTCATATATATGTATAACATTTATTGTTATATACCTACACATACGCTCAGAAGAACATTACATAGATCTAATACATAACAAATCTGATATATTGCTTTTATTTTGGAATTTTTATTCTCTAAAGAGTTCGTTGCCATGCTTTGATGTAAGATAGGGTGGCAATAACATTTTTATATTCGTATGTTCATAATTCATAATGAAGATAGATTTTTAGGGAAAAATTCTATTGTGGATTTTTAGATTAGTTTTTTTACTTTTTTCATTAGCTTTTCTATATGCATTGATTGTCATATTACGAGTATGAATCTTTTGTCTCTTTTTTCGCATTATTTCTTTTCTCATTAATATTACAGAGATATTCAAAACATGAATTGTGCAGGAGTTATAATAGAAGAGTCTTTATAATTACGAAACGGACACATTTTGAAAAAATAAGATATGGTCAGCAACATAGCTATAGAGTAACATCAATTTTATTAAAAATAACTTCTTTGTGTTTCTATAAAATAAAAGAGAGCATTCCCGTTTAAAGTTTAACTTCTAAAATTTGATGCGAACGCAACATCTCCCTTATTGTGTGCAAAACGAGTTATAAAAATCATTGTGAACTGTCTAATAAATCTCGGAAAACTCTATTGTTGCCTTCATTTAAGGAGTAAATGTTATTTCCTTTCCTTTTATTTATGTTTTTTCTAATCCAAATTTTTTTTAAATTTAAATTTTAGCCAATATTTCAGAGTTCAGATATAATCCTGCCGAAATTGTTATAAAAAAACATAATTTCTAAAACAATGAGTTTAATCACCCTGTTTAATAAATACGACCTAATTTTAAAATGACACATTGTTTAAAAATGCATAGTCCCTTGTATAATGTAGATTTTAAATTTTTGTAACATGAAAAATTTAAAAAATTTCACAAAAAATATAGTGTGTATTTGAAAATTTATGTAAAATGTTCGATAAGCATGTGATGGGAGGCGCATTTTTTATAAGTATAAAAGGCAATATAAATAAAGTTGGGTCAAACCAATGGTTTGTATTGTAGCACTTTTTCCTTCAACAAGTGAAAATTCTGCTTTTAAATACAGTCTATGTATACCTATCAAACTATTAAAATTATTTTCATTCATATACAAAACTATTTCTAAAATTGCATAAATTTAGGATGACGCATATATGCAGTCTTTGAAATAAAGCAAAAATTAATATAAAAAGGGGTTAACATAATGCTCGATTTTAAGGGTTAATTGTGTGAGTTAAGAAAAATAATCATATTTTTTAATTTCATGGAATTTACCGTTAGCTTTTTGCATTTATAAAAATTTGGAAAAGCTTGCGGTTTCGGAAATATAAGGTGTCAAAAATTCAAATTTTACAAATTTCAAGAGGCGATAACTTGTGAGGGGGTGGAGATGGAAAAAAATTTTCTTCTAACGAAATAAATTATTTGTTAATGTCTAAAAGCTCCTAAAATTTTAAGCTTCTACAGGCTGGGGTCTAGAAGAAAAATGACATCAAAAATTTGGAAAAAAAGGACTTTAGATAACGGTAAATTTGAACAGCCATTTTGTTTTTCTAAAGTTTAACTATAGTATATCGCGCTAGGGGAAGCAAGCCACTGCCTTTCTGCGTTTGCAAAATTTCAAAAATGCTTATGGTTTCATTGCAACAAATATTTAAAAAAGGCCATTTTTATGGTTTTGAGGGGGTATAACTTCTAGAGGGGGGGAGATAGGTAAAAATTTTGTTCTATGGAAATAAGTTTCTAGTGAAGATCTATGTACGTATGAAATGATCTATGTACGGACAGAGTGAAACTAATAAGCACTTTTTTCAAAAAATTTTTTGGAAAAGTGCTAAAAAGTATGTAACGGTTAATGCAGTTTTTATTAAAGGCTGTAGTTAAACGACACTTTCTAAAAATTTTTTTGGTGTAAATCACACAAATTTCACTAAAAATTACAAATGAAAAAATATTTTATAAAATGATGAATGAAAATTGGAAGAACTCTCTTATGCCTTTGTGTAAGATCTCATTATTTATTCTTTTTGTAAAAAAATATCCAATATTTCAAAAATTTCAATCTTGATTTTGAAATAGAAAGATTTGTAGTTAGTTTAAAGTAATTTTTACATTTATTGCAATTTTTTCAAAAAAAAACTGGATAAAAACTTTTAAAAAATCCAAAAAGCAGACTGCAATATTCGTCCTTTTTCAAAATAAATCATCAAAAATGTCAAACATAAGATTTTTCAGTTTAAAGTTTTCAGTATGAAATTTCTATATACATACGAAGTTCCAAAGGAATTTTATTTAAATTTAGAGTTTAAAAGATCAAACGCTATATTTATGGCTAAGAGAAAATATGAATGATTCCGGGGAAGTTTTAGGATGGTTGGGGATTCAGTGAACTGATGATATCGATCCAAATTTTGAATATCCCACCCCCAGTTTATTATCCCGTACTATTCAAGTTCAATACGTAACAACCATCAATAATGCAAAAAATTTTAAAATTTCTGAACCATAACAGTATTTGATACTCAACAATTTCAAATTTCTATTTCTAATCTTTTGATCTATATATGTATAGCAAGTATTATATAATTTTGAAAATAAATTAAAAACTCAGCAAATAAACTTGAAAGAGTCAACATTTATTATAGAAAAATTCTATAGAAAAATAATATTAAAATTCAATTGCTTTTAAACTTTCGTATCTAAGCACATTATATACCACAAGTATATTATGTACATTTCTTTTAAAATAAGTCTAAATATAAATTTTTGATCTTATTCACCTCATTTTTCTTTTTCATTTTTATTTTATATCTCTGTAAACCTATCTCTGTTTAAATTAATTAGCCTATTTAAAATTAGAAGACAACCATATTTCTATAGAAAATATTTTTAAAACGCATGAATTTCTTAAAATAAATAACTTTTATACACGTATGTATACATATATCACATAAGTGTGTGGTACCATATGTATACATATATTCAAATATCCACAGTAATATATTATTCGTTTTGTACGCATTAAAATGCTTATTAAAGCTCAAGGATATTCAAGTAATAAAAGTTGAATTTCAATTCAAACAAAGATTGTCACATACATTTTATATGCAATGTGATATCAAAATGTTACAAGATATCTCAACATATTGTACAGCTCAAATTTATATTTTACCACATTATGGCAACACGCTGGCATAAAATCACAGAATTACAAGTGAGTGAAATTAATATATTCTAAGGATTTAATGTTCTACATACAAGGCTCGCCAAAAATAGTTTCTATATACCACAATATGTAAAACCAAGTGATAAAATCCATATCAGATTAATGATATAAAGAATTTTAATTTCATAAAATATTTTTAGGTATATAAGGGTATAGAACCACTTTGTTAATAAATCGACAAACGTATATAATGAGTACGACACAATTTCCAATTCATTGAATACAAAAAAGAATATTTTAGATATAAGGTATCAAAATCCCAAAAGAACGTTCACACAGAGAGTAGAATGACCTTGATAAGAAAAAAAAACCGTGTACAATTTGATAATCGATAAACAGTTTTACAAATGACTAAAAATAAGGGGATAAAGCGAATTAAGGATCTATGAATTTTCCATATGTAAATATCTATAATGCTTTGTTTATATATG